TTAATAATTGCCTGGCATCTCCGAGGCATATTTTCGCTCACTAATTTTATAGCATAATGTCGTGACAAAGATCTCCATATAAATCGAATCTGTCGAGATAACTGCTTGATAATCCAGATTTTCTTTCCTCGGAGTTTGAACTTCATGAGTGCCCAAACATTTTCTATGGGAATTGCATTTGGCGATTGCGACAGCCAATCCAGTACGTCAATGTCATTTTCTTGTTTCCATGCAGTACAAAGATGATTCCAATGTTTTGGATCATTGTTCTCTTGCAGTAGCCAATTTTTGTTTTTCCTGGTAAACAACCTTTGCAGATGATAATAACGCTTTATTATATATTTTTATCATTTTGACATTTCAAATTCTCTGTAAAGATATGCAAAGTGCCAAATCCCTGTTTCGAGAAATAACTCCAAATGTGCATCTTTATCGTATGTTTAATGGGCTGAATAAATCTAGCGTGGGTACACCAGGTATAAGGGATGGAAGAACGTGCCTAAAAAGAAGCTTCGTAAAAATTACATTGTCTCAATCGCGGTCCAAATTTTCTTTCATCCAAGTGAGTCTTTTTTCGACATGTTTTTTGGACAGTAGCAGTTTCTTCAGTGTGCTTCGAAATTTCACTCTATGGCCATTAAACGTTTAAATCTTCTTATGGTGTGTCTTATGATATCACATGGCACATTCAGATTCTTTTTATGCAAAACAGCTTGCCCGCTGTCACGCAGTGATAGACCAGGATTTTTTCAAATATCCGTAAAATTATTCTGTCCTCCTTTTTCATTGTTACTTGCACATCGCCACAATCCAACAGGTCATCGACATTTTTTTACGTCGGAATAGCGTTTTACCCACTTATTTATAAATGTCTTCGACTTTTTCATGTATTTTGCAGTCGCTTCGTACGACATTTTCGGTCCTTTCGGATGCAAACACAGAAACACGGTTTCGTAACGTGATGTATATGCAGCATTCATGATGAAATATGACCAAGGTCGAATAACAATTAAGACTTTCTAAAACAAAGCATTTTGGGGGAAGGTTCCCGCTATCTGCTCGCGTTCGAATCTCCTCTCTAATGGTTTCCACGAAAAAGTTTCGCCATACACGCTCTTATCAAACAGACTATAACGAGATAAATCAATTGGTGTAAAGAAAATACATAGCTGTTTTTCAAAAAAGATATGTCACTGCATATTGTAAATCTCTATTTTTTTTAAACAACAACTTTATATTTTCTTTACACTTATTGTTTCATCTCATTATTCTGTGCATAAAAGTATTAAAATATAATTATTAAAAAATGAATAGTTTATGAGATCATACTTATCCTACGACATCCTCTTTAACATTTTTTTTCTAACGTTGCAT